GTGTTTGCGGCCTACGCCACTTATTTATCGGGTGAGACTGTTTTGGTGATGTATTAACTTCACGGGAGGTAGACGACCGTCCTTCACACGGACGAAAGAGGGAGTGCTCAAAGAGCGGCTCCCACAGCAAGGAGGGGCCCCGTGAATCATCGCGGTGCCCCCTATCAAACGGTTATCTTACCAGTCTGCGTGACACAAAATCATCCAGCACATGTATCCAACAGCAATGTTCGCAGACTCACGAACAGATGTTGCCACCTAGAACACCTTGGGCAGCTCGATCAGTGGCTTGCTTCCCCCGATCTATCTGCGACCTTTCTCTTCCCGGCAGCCGCAGCAGTAGCAGGCGGTGGGTGCGAAGACGGTGCACCTCGCGCGCCGCCCGCATCTTGTGGCGTTAAAAACGACGGACGGGTGCTGCTGGTAATACCCTGGGCCTCTCCATCAATCTGCGTGATCCACTCTTCTTCGTTGAAGACACCCGTCTGCTTCAGCCCCCATGCGTTCTCGATTGCGTCCCATCGCTCCTTCGCAACGGAGTTGCCCGCCTTCACATGTGCCTTTATCGTCTCGAAGTGACGGTCAAGAATCAGTCCTCGTTGTTTCAACTTCGAGAGTTTGCCAAGGTCCTTCAACAACCCATGGGATAAGGGGTTGGACAGGGACATGATCCCCCTGCACGGCAGGCAACTCGTGGCACGCTGCACCACGTTGGGTGGTAAATGAAAAAAACTCGCTGGCACAGGCGCACGACGTGTAGACTATTATGTACAGCAAACCCCCACATAAAAAAAAAATCAAAAAAGGGATAGACTAGTCTAGGTAGGTTGTTGTCTTCACATTAAACCGTATGTCAGTTGCTAAATGCCAAAATCTAGCAAAAGACTTTCAGCTCGTGGTCACGAAAGTGCTAGAGCCATCTGAGGATCTAAAGAACACGCACACATATAACGAGAAAAAGGTATCCAAGAGCCCGAAGAGGTACACCTAAAAATCCCTGCAGCACCTTATGCGTGCCCAAAAACTGAACTGCACGTCCGTCCCACCGTTCGACTACAGCAGTAGCATCACCCCCTCCCTGTCCCACTCTATACCAAAACGGAAGATTGCCGACTACAGCATACTGCTGTCTGAAGTGCTGTCTGTACAAAAACACCATGGTAGGCATGGAACAAGCAGCTGGCGGGGCACAAAGCTGCTGTCTGAAGTGCTGTCAGAATGTGTCTGCGGCCGTTCTGTGAAAAAGAACAACCAACCAAAGCCATCATAGCAGCAATTGACAATCACCCGAATCTCTCCCGATCGTCTGTGTTAGGCACTGCAGTGAAAAATATCGACACTAGCTAAGAATCGTTCCACATTGAAGGGGTCTTCCACGATCAGGCACAAAACCAATGCACCCGGGTTAGCCACGCCATCTCTGACGGGTCTCTCTACAAAACCGGTGACGATGTCATCACACAATACAACACGGAAAGTCAGAAAAAAGAACGAAAAAAATTGAAAACACAGATAGAAATGTTCGCCGTGGATGTCGCCCGCATGCTCCGGTGCCATTGCTCCATCCGGCGCCGCTGTAGTCAGCCCGAGCAAAACGCCACTCGACCTGCTCCGTCCGTACACGCTCTCGTCGCTGTCCTTCCCAGTCCGTTCCTCGCTTTCTCCCTCATTGCACTCAAGGTTCTTGGTCTGAAAAAAATAAAAATTCTCGCGCCGAATGGTCAACCAGCCTAGTTCAGCTCGTCGCCACCTGCTCCCTCCTCCTTTGATGGCGAAGCCAGGTTACTGAGGCAATACAGCTCCCTCTAGCAAACCTAGGGCCGTGTAGTGCCCGTCCACCTTTCTGATGGTGTCTGCCTCCGCGCACAAAAATGAGATGGGCTTCACTGCCTACGCCGACGCTGGACGGCCAGAAAGGCCCGCGCATCTACATTTTCCCGCCTGACCCCATCAGTGCCGACCCAACTCCACCACCACAAGCACGCCTCGCGGCGGATGCGCAGCAGCAAGAAGGTTTCGGTCATCCCTTGAGGGTGAGTCTAGCCCTGCTCGCCAGAAAGACCCCCCCCTTCGCTACAACCCATGTCAAAGCAAAAGCTTGTCGAGGAGCGAGGGGAAGAAGGGAGAGCAGTACCAACTACCAAACCTGGGAACGCCCCCCCCCCCCCCTCCTCCTCCATCTGTGTATGTTCTTCTCTCGCCACCGCCGCGTCATGTATGTTCTTATCTGTAGCACCAGTCGTACACCTCACTGGAAGTTCTTATTCTTAACAGCAGGTCCGATCTGAGCACGTGTTCTTACGGGCAAATTCTTAAAAATTGGATTTTTTGAGGCTCAAATTCTTCACGTCCATATTCTTAAGTGCGGGCCGGTTCTGTATGATGTTCAGCTCCGAATGTTTCTCGAAGGTCAAGCGTACATACTGCTGTTGGAATCTCAAGTCAGTCATTAGAGTTTGCACTGCTGAAAACAACAGTAAGTCGGTATTCAACTAAGGAGTACTACCGGAATAGTCTTCGGTATGTTGATTCAGTGATCGGATCATTGTACACACCCACGGGTTATACATTGAACCATAGAAGTATGGTACATCGGACCATCGTCCGATAGGATATTTTAGTAATAATGTTGTCATACGTTGGATCGACGGTCGATTACCGTGATCGGTACGTCGCAACAGCCCGTGTGTGTTTCCTTTCCGTGATGACGGTGGATGGCTGTTTGTGTATGTACTCGGCAGGATACAGATCTCCGAGATATCCGAGGGGGTACGCA